CCAGTCTCATCCTCTTGTAGCTCCCATGCTCCTCCGGCGAGCTAAGACAATGTTTATCTCCCTGAGCCTGGCCTTCATAATTCCATTCCATCACAATTATAAATCATTGGCTTTTTTCAAAGAAGCTCCTTGGTTAATGTTTTTCCTTTCTTTTCTTGGACAGTTTCATTCTGTAACACAGGATTCTGGCTTGAAATGCTGCAGTTTGTGCGACCATGTGATTTAGAGTTAAGAGATCAGTGATTGTAGGCTTTTTTCCTCTATAACTATGTGGTTATGGTGAGAGGAGAATGAAAATGAAGCGGAGATAACTGCTCCAGTGGTTCCACAGGGCACCCCTAGTCTAAATGTTTTTAAAATGAATTTTAAAAGCTTATTCTCCTGAGAGAGGGTGAATTAAAAGTATTATCAGAAAAAGTATTACAGCAGGGGGGTGCTGTCTCACTTAATATCAGTGTATTTTTTGACAGTTTCTGATGGATGGATGAAGCACCATCAGGTCAGTGTTATGTCCTGGTGGACACATAGATCGATTTTCTCCACAATGATCCGTCCTCAGCCTTTTGAATCTCTCGTTTTGATGCTGTTATAATTGAATCAATCCACAATACTACTGGTTGTCCTCTCATCCTTCTTTCAACTTTTTCCAGCGTTATGGATTTTTCAAGGGGTAGACTTTCTACTGCTTATGAAATAGAAACCACGTATTTCAACCCTGTGCAGTTTTATACCATTACAACTCACATCAAAAACCCAAATTTGTTAAACAAATCGGAGTGATTTATTTCACAGTCTTAAAAACACTGGAATTCCAAGAGGAAATTCACAGTTACTTTCTATGCTATGATCTTTGTTTCATTCCTGTAACTTTGTTACATTTTCATATACTTTCTTTTTCTCTCAAGGAAGTAATGGGCAACAGAATGAGAACTACAGGGTACCATTTCAAACGCCCGTCGAGCATAAAGAAGGAAAAGAGACATTTGCCAGTGAAGCGAAAACAAAGAATCATGAGAGAAACCTGTCAAATAATGAGAATTCAAAAATCTCAGCTTCCTACTATGCTGGCATTCAAGACTTTCTAGCCCAAAAAGAACATAAAGGAAAAAAGAGGAAAAGGAGTTTAGGGAAAAGTGTGAAAATATTGAACTTAAATTTCAATAAACATTATGGAAGCCATGCCAAACAGGATAAATGCATGGAAGATGAAGAAGGTTACCATCAAAGTTTCATTCTTTCTTTACACAACAGAGTCAAGATGGGAGAGAAACCATATATATGCCTGGTGTGTGGAAAGAGCTTCAGTCAGAGTAGCGCTTTAATTTCCCATAAAAGAATCCACAGAGGGGAGAAACTTCATAAGTGCATGGAGTGTGGGAAGAAGTTCAGGTGGAAAAGTGACCTTATTTCTCATAAAAGGGTCCACACAGGGGAGAAACCCTATAAATGCATGGAGTGTGGGAAGAAGTTCAGGTGGAAAAGTGACCTTATTTCTCATAAAAGGGTCCACACAGGGGAGAAACCCTATAAATGCATGGAGTGTGGGAAGAAGTTCAGGTGGAAAAGTGACCTTATTTCTCATAAAAGGGTCCACACAGGGGAGAAACCCTATAAATGCATGGAGTGTGGGAAGAGTTTTAGTCAAAGCAGTAACCTGATTTCCCATAAAAGGAGCCATTCTGGAGAAAAACCTTACAAATGCACGGAATGTGGAAAGTGCTTCAGGTGGAGTAGTCAGTTTACTTCCCATAAAAGAATCCATACTGGAGAGAAACCATATAAATGTGTGGAATGTGGAAAAAGCTTTACCAATAGCAGTTCCCTCAGTTCTCATAGAAGTATCCACACAGGGGAGAAACCCTATCAATGCTTGGAGTGCGGGAAGAACTTCAGCATGAGCAGTCACCTCACCTCCCATAAAAGGATTCACACAGGGGAGAAGCCATACAAGTGCTTGGAGTGTGGAAAGAGCTTCCGGGAAAATGGGTCCCTAAGTAGTCATAAAATGATCCATACAGGAGAGAAGCCATATAAATGTAGGGAATGTGGGAAAAAATTCCGAAAAATAAGTTCCCTTACCTCTCATACAAGGATTCACACAGGGGAGAAACCATATAAATGCATGGAATGTGGGAAAATATTCCAAAAAAGTACTTCCCTCACATCCCATAAAAGAATCCACACAGGGGAGAAACCATATGAATGCATGGAGTGTGGAAAGAGCTTTCGTGAAAATGGGTCCCTTACTTCCCATAAAAGGATCCACTCTGGTGAGAAACCGTATAAATGTATGGAGTGTGGAAAGAGCTTCATTCGGAGCAGTTCTCTTACGTCTCATAAAAGGATCCACACCGGGGAGAAACCGTACACATGTACAGAATGTGGAAAGAGCTTTCGTGAAAATGGGACACTTACTTCTCACAAAAGGATCCACCGAGGGGAGAAACCATACAAATGCACGGAGTGTGGAAAGAGCTTCAGGTGGAGCAGTCAGCTTACTTCCCATAAGAGGATCCATTCTGGTCTTGTACCATATAGATGCTTGGAATGTGGAAAAAGCTTTAGCCAGGGGAGTCATCTGACTTCCCATAAAACCATCCATACGGGGGAGAAGCCATATAAATGTTTGGAATGTGGGAAAATATTCCGAATCAGCAGTTCCCTAACTTCTCATAAAAGGATCCACACAGGGGAGAAACCGTATACATGTTTGGTATGTGGAAAGAGCTTCCGTGAAAATGGGTCTCTTACTATTCATAAAAGGATCCACACAGGGGAGAAACCATATCAATGCAAAGAGTGTGGGAAGAGCTTCAGAAGGAGCAGTAACCTTACTACTCATGCAAAGACCCACTCAGGTGAGAATCCATGTAAATGCTATGTGTGATTGGTTCCATCAATGTCTTTTAAGTCTGAACTTGAAAAAAAAATTCCTGAGTATAGGTTGTCCTTGCTTAATGACCACAATTGGGATTGGCAGCTCCATCAGTAAGTTACGTGGTTAAGTGAGACATCACATGCCCATGACAGAATTATTTCACTTCTGCCGCAGTCGTTAAGCGAATCACCTGCGATTGTTAAGCAAGACATCACATGACCTCAACTTGCAATTTTCCTGCAGCTTCTCCATTGACTCTGCTTGTCAGAAGCTGGTATGAAGCATGCAAATGGCAATCATGTGACCATGGGATGCTGCAACAGTCATAAGTGTGAGGACTGGTTGTAAAGTTACTTTTTCGGCACCATTGTAACTTTGAATGGTTGCTAAACAGGGCAGTTGTTAAGTGAGGACTACCTGTACCTTAATCCTGATCTTTGCTAAGGCTTGATAGGAACAGTCACCAAGAAAAGGGTTTTGTACTGGAGATGTGCTGTTTCATTTAAGATACGTACAGTTGCATATCAATAACATTGCTCAAGTTGCAAGTTTAAGATGCTTGTAATGTCCATTTGTGCTTCGAAACTCAAATCTTGAATCCTGGGCCATTCCAGGTTATGAACATATATAGTATATACTAAGCCTTTGACTTAACAAGTCTCAGTCTGGAGAACATCGTGCTTAATGGACAATAACCGCTGGGTCCCCCTTATGTCTAGCGGTTCCTGGATTGGCCTGGTCTGTAAGTCCTGAATGAGATCTTCAGATGCCATGTGGCCCCTTAATGAACATTTGGCTTTAATTAGTCTATTAAATTGTGAGCCTGACTTGTCTGTATTTTATGGTTTTTGGTAGATGGCCCAACTCTGGAAAAACAAATCAAAATGATAAAGAAAACAGTAACAATAATTCAGTGATCACAGATCAGTTCCAAGCTCTCCATTCTCCTGGATGTACTAGATGCTGTCTTTGGGAAGGGATGCATCCAGACGGGCGTTTAACAGGTGCGCTTTCCCCATCGCTTGGAAATGTTATTAAAAGGCAGGAGCCTTTGTGAGCTACAGCTCGCTTCCTCAGATGCCTGGAGTGGCTAAACTGATGTAGGATTTGAAAAGGGGAGGAAGCAAATCAATAAATCCTTTTCAAGCCCCATATCAGTTTAACCACTTCAGGCTTCTGAGGAAGCGAGCTATTTTTCTCTGTTTACTTTTATTTTCTTATTTTCCTTTGTTTCAGTATCGTAACATAACACTGAACTAATTTGTTGGATGTGTGTATATTACGGCCTTTCTTTTAATTGGGTCTGTATATTGTTTTCTCTGTATTCCTTTTCTAAACTTGTAATAACATTATTTTTAAAAATCTGCTATTTTTCTCTGTTTACTTTTATTTTCTTATTTTCCTTTGTTTCAGTATCGTAACATAACACTGAACTAATTTGTTGGATGTGTGTATATTACGGCCTTTCTTTTAATTGGGTCTGTATATTGTTTTCTCTGTATTCCTTTTCTAAACTTGTAATAACATTATTTTTAAAAATCTGATGAAGTGGGCTACCCCTCACAAATGCTCTGCCTTTTAATAAAAATTGTTAGTCGGAAAAAGCGTTACTAGACTCCTCCTGACTTTTGGCTACTATAGACTAATACATCCCTCCTGCTACAAAGTCACTTGGAGGGAGTTCATCTGATAAATCTCTCACCGATGCCTTGCTAGAAGGCAGCACTGTGCCCACATTCCTTCTCTTAGAGCAAACATGCAATCAGAAATTCAACAGATCTACCATCACCTTCAATTTTGTCTTTCCTTCCTTTGTCTAGTCTTGTTATAATTTTGTTTTCTCCCCTTGTTTCTTGCTACTTAATTTTACACTTTTGTGTAACATTTTGTTAAAATTTTACATTTTTGTGGAAAATTTTGTGTTTACGCTACACTTTTTTCACAAGGGAAGAAAGTTAATCTAACCTTGTAAAAGATAGCAAACAGCCCAGCAGCCCAGAGATACCATGCTATTGCCTACAGGTAATCCTCGTTTAGCAACTGCCTTGCTAAACATTTGCAGTTATGATGGTGATGAAAAAGTGACTTTGCAACCAGTCCCTGCATTTACAACCTTCGCAGGTCTGTAAAGCAAAGGAAAGCTGAAGATCATAAGCACAATTGCAGTTTCACTTAACAACTGCTTTGCTTAACAACTGAGTTGCCAGTCCCATTTGTGGTCAGTAAACGAAGAATGCCTGTATTTCCTTCAAGTGTTCAGAGAGAAATGGGAGAACGAGATCTTGGTAATGCTGAACTAAAAAAGGCAACTCAGAAGATTTGTGCCTTAAATTTCTAATTTCTATTTTTCTTTTTGTCCTAAGTACGGGGTCTACAGGAAAATGAAAATGATAGGATTCCAGCATGCTGATACCACCAACCGTAATGCAAAAATTGAAAGAGACATTTGGAAATCAGTAGGGACCAGAATAAAATAAAATCCATTTAGGAAAGCCACTCCAAAAAATGGGGGAGACGGCCTCCATTTCTGAATGTGCTGTAGTCCAGTGGTTCCTCCTGAGAAAACAGGATCACAAAGGAATGAGAAGGAGAACAGGCTCTCATATGGGAAGAGAGTTGAATCAGACTGGCGTCAGCCGTGTGACATCAAGACACCAATTTTTCTTTTAAGGAAAGAGAGAAAAAGAAAAAAGAAGGCATTCTTTTAACAAAACAAGAAACCTTGATCACACAGCATAATATTGCTCAGTCTTCAGTTCCATCAATAAAGAACCAATTCACGAGCAGAGAGAGAATATACGTCATTACCCCAGGACTGTAAATATGGTGCATTTCTGCCTTTCTACTATAAAAGTGGATTTTTTTTGCTATTCTACAGTTCTTCATGTATTGATAAATTCTACATTTGAGGTAATGATTCAAAATCCCATTCACAGCTGTACGTCACATCACTCCTGTAAGTAATTTCTATTAAGATAATAAGAAACATTGTTAATGCTTTTGAAGACCCTTGAGCACCGATTGGTTAATAAACACCTACTGTTTATTCTAAAGCAGTGTTTTTCAAACTTGGCAACTTTAAGATGTGTTGACTTCAACTCCCAGAATTCCCCAGCCAAGTTTGAAAAATACTATGCTAGAGGTTTTGCAGATAGCTGGTATCCAGCTTATCACTACACTTTCATTATCTATTAAAAAATAATATATAATTCGAAACACATTCCAGCGTTATTGTAATGTACAGGTTTTAGTGCTGCTTATGTATTTCGAGCACTTTGTGAGATCACAAGATGTTTTAATTCAGTGTTTCTCAATCTTAGCAACTTTAAGATGCGTGGACTTCAACTCAAGCTGGCTGGGGAATTCTGGGAGTTGAAGTCCACATGTCTTAAAGTTGTTGAGGTTGAGAAAGACTGTTTTAACTGAACATTCTTCTATTCCATAATTTTAGAAAAGCCAAATTCTTATTGCTGCAACTCAAATGATTTAAAAATTGGCAACCACCTGATCTAAAGTATTAATGTCTCTGTTAGCCCATTAATTCAAAAAGAAAAAAAAGATGTTCTACTTTTTTTCAAAGTGGAATTTTTCCCAAAGTGTACATTTATAATGTGAATAAAGACTAAAATTTTCCAAATACGTCTTGTAGTTTTTAATGCTTAGAATATTATAGAATTTTGACCAAAAAGAAATCAAGCTGTTGCCATTATATCAGAGATCATATAATAACTTTCTAATTGTGCCAGTTAGAAGGTTAAATTCCCCTATGATCTATTCATTAGATGAAGACAATCTAGGCATTTATCTTTCCCATTAAAAAAATCTTAACTAAATGATTTGCTTGAAATACCTCTAAGGTATTAACATAGAAATCCCTAGATGTACTTAAATCAATCTTGAAATAATATTCATTTTTAGCTTTATCTTTCCCCATAACCCCATAGACAGTTTAATGTATACAGTGGTATCTCGGGATACAAATTTAATCCGTTCCGTGACTCTGGGCGTATCCCGAGTTGGTCGTAACCCGACACAAATTTCCCCATAGGGTTCAATGTAAATCCA